ACGTGGTACGAACAAACGCTGGGAATGCAGAAGAACATACTGTACGTGATGATGTACCAGAAACCAGTAACCCTTTCCATCAAATGTGTGATATCAGAACTCTCTCTGCACTATTACTGCACGGTAAGATTGCCAAACGTCGAAAGATTTGTTACAATGAGGACCATTTTTCTAATAATTTTAATATTAACTCAGATGTAATCGAAATCCAACAATTTCATCAACTATAGAAAATGTTGATATATCCTGGAGTTATTCCTCATCCGGACATTTGTAATTAATTATGGAATCTCGAACATTCGAGGTATCGTTCGGGATGTTGCAAATTCGATATTTTCCCGAGATTATTTTGAAATATTCCAGGACCAATACAAGTATCAAAACTTTTCTACTTTTCTTTCTTTTTTAATTGAATTATCGAAGCTGTCCTTATTGGTACAAATTCTTCGATTAACGTGATAAACAAGTTGATCAATGGTAATGCATGCATAACAGATCGATAACGTTTCAGTATCTGTCGAATGCTTTCTCTCTCTGTACTACTTTCCGAGCAATATTCGAAGACATGACGGAGTAAATATATATTCTGTTTAAAAATTATCATAGTTTTTAGAATATAAAGTAGCAATAAAAGTAGAATCTCTCGTGTATTAATGTAATTTTAATTTCCTTTCACTTTTCTACTTTCTGCCTCTTTCATTCCTTCTCCTTTTCAGCACGACTTTTCTTATCGTGTTATCGCGATTAAGAACTGAGAAACGACTTCATTTTTTCGAGCTTAGTAACTTTAAAAAATTTTATCGTACAAGCGGTTCTGCGTCGGACCGAGATTATGACAGTGCTTTTCTCCACAATTCGTTCGTCTCGGAATTTTCTTCTCAAATATTGCAAAGATTAAACTTCCCAATTTTTTTCTTCCATGCGTGTCATGTTCTTTGGAAACTTATTTACACCAAATTAATGGCCTTGTTCCATGTAAAAATCGACTTTTTGAAAAACCAAGAATATGTGTCACACGAGTGGAGCATCAAGATTTTAGAGTGCTTAAGTGGGTCATGACCAACAAAAACATTTTATGAGCCACTGACTAAACCAACTTATTATTAGCAATTGAAACAGAATTTTCAAATCGAAACAAAAAAAAAAGTATTCCTCAAAATTGTGTCGCTCCAATGAAGACAAGTTAGATCAAGTTGAACCACGCCCAAGAATAATTACCATTTTTGAGAGATAGAATTTCATCCAATTTAATCGTTAACCCATTATATCACCATTTAAATTGCAGAACTGCAACATATGGACCCAACACAATTCAAAAAACTGATAACCAGAAAACCGTGTATTTTTCACTCGTATATAACTAAAAACGATATAAATGATTACAGGCATGACGCATTTCTTACCGCATACATGTAGCAAATGTTCCACTACACAACTGGTGCATAATCCTAATCACTATTCTCATCTTTCCTCTGCACAGCTGTTAACAGACAGTAATATCTATTTTCGCAAGAATATCGAAGAACCGTAAATATATCCTGAATGTGCACTTTATTCTTCTTCCTACCCAACCATACTACTTCGTATCCCGCGAGAGACTGAATATGCGCACCTGGTATACCTTTGAAACTTCAATTTACACCATCAAAGAACACTTTCCTACTTGAATATTAATTCCCAATACGTAATAACGTTCCCATAGGTCTATCCAACATCGAACACCCCAGTAATGCATAATACAGGCGACAATAATTATCGTATCACTTATTAGGTTAACAGAGAGAACACCACTTTGAGAAATAAGTATCAATCGATACGTTATTACCTTGCGGCTGTGCATTTACTCGTAACTTATTAAATACTTCCTACAGAGAGTATAATACTGCAATGACCATAATTACTCAATTTCATCAAATTCTTCTGGTATATCCTATTATTTTATTATGATAACTGCCATAATTGTACGGTGGAATTCAACAGTATTGCAGCTAGCAACGATCTGCGCATATCGTGCTACTAAGATCAGTCATTCTAAGTCGTTCGACTCGCAAGTTCGACAGTCTCATCGAGATCATGCCGAAACAAGTGACACTGGAAAAAGCTATCGACATCGTTCGGCTGAGCATAGCTCTAACGTTCTGTTGGCCGCTTCCTCCGCACAGCAGCAGAAAAAAACTGTTCGTTTACAAAACTACACAATTATTCGCGACAATCAGCATTATCGCTCTGCTCCTGCCACTGTTATACGCCATGTACGTACGATCCGACGATATGGAAACCATGTTCCTGTGTCTCAGCCAGGTGATATTAACGACGCAAGGTATCATTCAGACAGTTATATGTTCCAGAAAGCACAACACTCTGCAAGTAAGTTCTTAAATCCATTCCTATTGTCGCGCGTGTTTTTCACA